TTTCTAATGAGATTTAAGTACTTGAGAAATCACACCTTTTAAGGTGCTTTTATATCTTTGAAGATACCATGTTCTAGAGAATTTTTTAATTAAACAAAATTAAAAAAACAAACAAACATTGTTTCACCTTTACCATCTCTGGCTAGTCATTGAACCTGGCCCAGTTTTCTACTCCTTCTTTCTAGCTAGCTGCTCATTTATGGATTTTTGTTAATGTTAGGGGTATAATTTATTTTTCCATTAAGATCAGTGGCTTGACTCCCAAATAGTTGAGTTATGAACTGTTTGGGAAACCTATTAATTTTCAGGAAAAATCTAAGATCTTAGAATGCTTGTAGTCTTTGTAAGAGTTTGCTCAGTCTGTCAATTAAGTTACCTACTTATATATCCAAATACCCAGATAAAAACCTCGGCTGAGGATTGTTGGGAGTGTAGAAATCTGAAGGCTCTGAGAGAATTATTACATGCTATATCTGAGAGGTAAATTTTCTAGGTCTCTAGGCAATGATAGTAAATGGAACATTTGAGTCTTTGCCTTAGAATGAATCCTTAATAAATTTTCAGATGTCATAGAAGGTTCACAGTTAGTGATTCTTCCAAGATGTGCAGTGTAGTTTAAACAGTTTTCCCCCTCCTGAGTACCAGTTGTAGTCTTTCAGAAAAACATGGCAGTCTTAAATACTTTTTACTCAGTGAAGGCTTTTTCCCGGTGCCTTAGTGAGAGTTCTCTGACCTGCATCTAGGCGTCTTTATCATGTACAGAGGCTCCTGTCCTTCAGTTATTTTTTAAATAAATCTCTTTAATATTTTAGGAGAACACAAAAAGATCATAATGTGTTCTTCAAGGATAGAAAAGCACGTATTTGCCAAATCTCGCAAACCCCATTAGGCTGGGTGGTTTGCTCAAGGCCTCTTCCCTTGCCTGAGCATGGAGACGATGGCGCCTGTGGTGTTGAATGCTGTGACTCTGGCATGTATCCCCCTGTCCTCTAGCCTCTGCTGCTTTCATTTATATGTCGAGCAACTTGGAACCCTTTTCTCCCTTAAGAATTAAACTGGTACACTGAGCAGATATGAAGGGTTGTTTTTATCCAAGTTTGCAACTTTGTTCATAAGCACCAAATCCAAATTAAGATTTTTAGATTAGCTTGGAACATGACAAGCTGATATTCCTGCCTTGTATCTCCCCATTGTTGGGGCTCCCTCGTGGCAGCATGTGACGCTGTCCTATCCATAGCCAGGATTTCGATCCCTGGCCAGGGAGGTGACCATGGTGCAGCAGACCTCTCCTGTCTCGCCCTCTGCTCCCCTCAGCAGTGTATTTCCACTGTTCTGCTCACTCCTCTGTCTCTGGTGAATCCTCTCACCCCCACCTCTGCCCTGTATGCCATTTTTTGTATGTATCAATAATTCTTTCAAAAACAAAAGGAATGTCATTGTGCTTTTGGGAGATAGGGAGTAGGAAACTTGAATTTCTGATAAGTGAACAGATTCATAAGAAAGAAAGAACGGCACTATGCTGGTGACTATGCATTACTTAGCGTTGGATTCACTCCCAAACTTTTGCGCCCTGTTGTATGTGTGCGTACAGGGTTCTAGTGTCCTTTATTGGGCATTTTTCTTTTAGTTAGTTATTTCAGAGTAAGTATTGTCAGTACCACATGAGCTTTAGAAATATTCAGGGTTCCTTCAGTTTTCCCTTGTAGGTTATTTACTCATCCACTGCAGGGCCTCTGTCTACTCTCTGGCTATCTGCTAATCCCTCTGAAGTGGAGAATGAAGACCAAGCATGCTATGTCCCTCTCAGGAGGACACTGAGGCTTTCTGACTTGTACTGATCCAAAGAGCCCATCGGATTCTGCTAGTCTTCTGGCAGTTGTGCGTTCCACTTTAAGGACATTCCTTTTGTGGAGAGGCAAGATAGAATGGAGAGAGAGCAGGAATTTTATAACTTTTACTCAGATCCACAATTTGTTAACTCTGTGACGATGGGCATGAAAAACAGTGTATTCATTAGTAAAACAGGGACAGGGAGACTCTCCATGGGGTTGTTGTGACCGTGGATGATTATGTAAAGTTTATAGCATAACTGGTACTCCCCTTATCCTTCTAGACCAGTCAGCCTGGAGTCTACATCAGTCTAAATCAGATGCAGTTTGTCCTGCATCTTGACTGCTAGTGTTGCCACTGGAAACCCATGGTCCATGCCCCCAGCTGAGAGCTCAGTGCTGCCAGCACTTTGTGTGAGTTTAGTCGGCTTTCTCCCTGTCCTTTGCGGAGGCCAGAAGTTGGTGGTCCAGAAGAACTTGGCACTGTAGACATTTTGTGTTCAACCTTGACATAGTTTTTCAGTCATTGAGATTGGTTTAGAGGATTTAAAATTTGCAATGATTCAAAAAAAGATTAAAGTGTCTGATTTCTTTTGAAAAATTGGATTATCTGAAAACTTGGCATGCCTTGGCTGTCGTTCGTTTCCGCCCTGAGAGAGACCGGGGTTCCCCAGCTTGCCACACTGTCCACCAATCCCGGTGGGCTTCTGCTGGCCCACAGATTGAGTCATGTTGCTGGTCTGATCCCTGTGGACATTTTTTTTTTTTTGTCTTCTCTCTAAATTCGTCCCACTTTGTCTCCATAACCAAAACCATCATCATTTCTCACCTGGTGTATTGGATTGTGTCCTAACTTGTCTTATCGCTAGTGTTGTTCCTCTTGAGTACTATCAGGGTCTTCTTTCTAAACTGTAAATTGAATCACATCACTCTCTTGAGTTCTTGTTTGCCTTGTCTCTTTGCACAAATGAAGTTTAAACTTAGCATGGTGTTGCCATTATACAGAATCTGGCAACCTTGTGTTCTTCAGTTTCTTCTTCTTTTTTTTCAGGTGAGATTAGCATTTTATTGAGTATTTTTTTAATATAATAGTTTATTTTTACATCATTTTGTGCATTTTTCCATCACAGTTGCAATCCCCTTGGGCTTCCCATCATCATATCACCCATGTGTGATCACGATAGTCCAGGGCATTTCCCTCCACCCGCTGTTTTTGATCCCATTCCCCACTCCACCCCCACAAAATGCTTCTGGTATATAGCGGTTCAAGTTTCTTCTTAAGGAATGTGAAGAAAATAATAGTTCTTACCTGTAAGGCAAATACTAGATGTTAGTATTATGATGACATCATGTTTTTGTTTTGTTTTCTGGACCTCAGGACTTCCTATTTGCCATCTTTTCTGTCCTGAATGTTTTCACCCATTTCTGTCCTTTGACTGCACCCCGTCTGGCAGGCCCCAGCTCCTATGTCACCTCCTCCAAGAACGTTCTCCGACCTTCCATAATCCTGTGGCAGCTTTGCTTACCTCTGGTATTGGACGTGGCATGGTGCAGTAATGTTACTTCATTTCCTAGTCTACTCCTCATTTAGACCGTGAAGCCCTTTTAAACACAGGAACTATCTCACATATCCATGTGTCCCCATTGTCCAGCACAGATCAAAGAGCATCTAAATGCTTGACAGATTTAATGATCAACATCATGGCAAAAGATACTTGATTAATATTAACTGTTGTTATTGGACAATTTAGAAGATGTGCCATAAAACCCTTTTTATTCTAAATTTATTTAGTGGTGATAACTAGTCTTTAGTTATGTTTTGTCACAAAAATTAAAGCACATTATTACTGACCTTAAGTGGTACATGCCTTGTATAAAGTTGAAAAAAATCTGAACTATAAAAAAGAAATCTCACTATCTAAAAATAGTTAGTGTTTTAAATTTATAAACTTAATATGTGCTACCAAACTTTTCTATTTAAAATCTCAATAACAATGACTCTTGTTTTACAAACAGCTTTAGAACCTCCAGTTTCATATATGAAGAATCTGTTTTGTGTTCCATGTTCTTATCATAGGCAATGAGATGTGTCTTTTGCACACAGCCATGTGCTCTGGGAGAGAAGCCCCAGTCGCTTACATCGCCCTCTCACCCCCTTGCTTTGTGGGTGGCCATTCGTTCACCGACACACGCTGTGTCACCAGAGCTTATGGCCATTCTCCGGGAATAGAGCAGCTGACGTTTGGAGTGCTAACATTACTCAAGAAATTGTTACTTGTGGAAGCCATGGATGTGTCTTTAAGAAACTTGCGTTTTTTTGCCCTTGAGTCTCCCTTCTTCAGTCCCATGTTGCCAGTGACATAATTAACATGAAATTTGCCGGGTAGCACTCCAGATTCTCTCCTCTCCAGATGCTGCTTTCCCTTCTGCCTTATCTCAGTTGCCCTGTTCTGTTCTCCACCCCATCAAGATATGTCTCACAGAGAAATGTGTTCTTATATATATCTTCCTCCCTTTTGTATAGTATATTCTTTTGGTTATTGTTTGCTTTAGTTGTTGTGACATGTCCCTTTCCTAGGCAGTGACACTGGTCTACATTATATAAAATGAACTTTTGTTGATAAGCCTGATTTTTTTTTTAAAGTTTATTTTTACATCATTTTGCACATATTTTTTTCATCTCAATTGTAATCCCCACGGGTTTCCCATCACCAAATCACCCCTGTGCCACCACCATAGTCCCGTGCATTTCCCTCCCCCCGCCCTCCCCCCGTTTTTGATCCCATTCCCCACTCCACCCCCACAGAATGTCTCTGGTCTATGGTTGTTCATTATTTTTGTTATTTTCTCGCCTGGTCCATTATACTCCTGCTATGAGTGAAACCATCCGGTATTTTTCTTTCTCTTTCTGGCGATAAGCCTGATTTTTTATCAGTCGGTTGGTATGGTAAGACTTTCTGTGCCTGCAACAGTTTAGTCTGCAGTGTGGCAGGTTGAGTGAACTTTTCTGTATTTGGGTTTCATCTTCTAATCTGGTACCTATTTTAAGGAATGATTGAAACAGTCATCATTCTGAGACATAGCAGCTAACTTTTATAGACAGTGTTTCTTTAAATTTTAAAGTTTTCTGTAAGTTCTCTGAGTGTTGCTGCCTATTCTTTTTTATTTTAGATTACAGACTCTGCTGGTCATATTTTGTACTCCAAAGAGGATGCAACCAAGGGGAAATTTGCCTTTACCACTGAAGATTATGACATGTTTGAAGTCTGTTTTGAGAGTAAGGGTAAGTAACCGGAATGTTTTCCTTGAATTAAGTGTCTTTCCCCAGGTTATGGAGAGGTGACTTTCTCTTTTTGGCCAGCAGGAAGAGGAAATGAAAACTACAACTAGCAGGGCACGTGCACAGGTGAGGGAAAGCTGTTCATGAGTAGCAGTCTCCACGTGCAGAAGCAGGCGTGGCATCCACGCTGTGAAGTGTGCCAGCTGACTTGGGTGACATATGGGTGCTAGTAAATAGTGCGTTTATATGCTAGTGACATGTTTGGTTGGGTATTGTACTGCCAGTATTTGGCAGTCAGAAGCAGTTTTGGTCCATGGAGCACTTGCTATTTCCTAATCCTGATTTCTTGCAATGGAATCTTCTGTGCATTCTGTGGCCCAGCTCCCCTAAGAACATTCGTGCTTGTTTACTTGATCACATCTGTGCTCGGTAGTGGGTGAAAATTTTTCATTCCCTGTTCTTTGACTTCAAGGACACAAGACCCTAAAAGCTGTATGTATTTAGTTGGGGTTATTTGGGCCTGTAAAGCACAGAACATAACTCAAACTGGCTGACAGAGAAAGGAGAGAAAGACCATTTAACTCTTCTGAGCCGGAAAGTCCACTCTGTGGTGCTGACCTACGGCATGGCTGGATGTTAGGGTTTTAACAGGATCATTGGAACCCTAACTCTCTTGTAGTGCCGCCTTGCCTTGCTTCCATTCGACTTTATTCTCAGGTTTTCTTCATTTGGTAACAAAAGGACACCTGCCAATTTTACACTTACAGGTTGTTCAGAATATGTGATCTTAGAGGATGGAAGAGCAAGGACCTCTGCCCGCACCACCACTTGATTCTCAGGAATAGCAGACCAATTAGGGGCTTTGGACAGTTAACCAAGAATTGGCTTCCTTGATCTAAAGTGGATCATCTTAGCTTAAAAGTTACATCACATTCACTTGAAGTAAACAAACTAATAAGAGTTTAAGAATAAAAGGTTGAAGGATTTTAATGGTGAGTTCATGACTATATCCTCCTTCCTGTCCCCACCCCTGCCAGTTCTAGACTCTTCCAACAATATTATAGACATTTCCACATGGTTGCCCCACTGTTACCTCAACAAGGATATCAGACTTCATTCATGAGCCTCTCTTTCAAACTAATCCCTTTCACCAGTATTACCACCACCTTTTTGGCTACTTTGGTTTATGTTTTCAAAATCACTTCTAAATCATTTCTAGGCTCTCATCAGACTTTTATTAGCACTACTACTAGATGTATTTCCTAAAACACACCTTTCATCATGGCCTCCTCTATTTAAAAAGTTTCCCTTCTCTGTAGTGGCAGTAAGATCTCTGGCTATAGAAAAAAAACCAGAATCAGGATTTTCAAGCTCAAGGAGGTTTTATCTAAAACCCAGCTTTTAGGGCCCTCCCTGGTGGTGCAACAGGTTAAAAGCACAGCACTATGAAGTTATTGCAGCCACTACAACAAGAGTTTGATCCCTGTTCCAGAGGTTGACCCACATGGCACAGCAGACTTCTCCTGTCTCACCGCTGCTCCCCTCAGCAGTGTGTTTCAGCCAATCTCCCTGTTCTGCTACCCACTACTCTCTCTGATGAATCCTTTTACCCCCTGTACCTGTGGGCTGTACCCCAGCTCTATATGCATAGATAGGTAAATCTTTAAAAAATAAAATGAAATCCAGCTTTGAATAGTCTTTGTACTCTTACCCTGCCTTTTCTTCCACTACTAATCAGATTTTAGACTGTCTAGTTTGTTCTGTCCTTTATGCCATGATTATTATTTGTTGGGTAAATGTGAGTTTCTTTTTGGTTCTTGTAGAGTACTTCCCTCAGTTATTCTGTTGATTCATTTATTCACCCTGCGAATATTTATTTAGTGTCCTTAGATACAAGCATTGTTGCAGATGTTACAGTATGACCATGAATAAAACAGTAGCCCTTCATGTCATAGAACTTACATATTCTTTTGAAACACAATAAAGCAACAAGTCAGGTGGTAGAGAAAAGCAAAAACCCTGAGATGTTGAGCTACCTCAGAACAGTAGGGGGTTAATGTGGCTTCTTCCAAATAGCACATCACTCACTGACCGGACTGTTTATCTTGCAGTGTGTATATGTGTTTGTGTGTGTGCGTGTGTGCTTGAAGCCCTGTGTTGCTTAAATGTCTCCTGTGTATTTGTCATACATTTGTAACTTTAAAATGTTCGGGGGTGGAATTAATGAAATATCTTGTTTCTTCTAAACTTCATCATAGGTCCCTTTGTAAAATGACCCTTCGGTAACTTTTCTCTGCACTTGCCTGGAAACAGACAATCTTTTAATCAGTGCATGTCACACAGAATACAAAAGAAATCAGAGGCGCAGTGCTCACTATAATGTATATGTATACATTTTTTTCTAAAAAATAAAATTTTGCATAAATAATTTTAAACAATTAGTTCCAAGGGATCTACATGCACCACACAGCATGTAAGAAGTTTAGAAGAAACAAGATATTTCATTAATTCCACCTCCAAACATTTTAAAGTTACAAATGTATGACAAATACACAGGAGACATTTAAGCAACACAGGGCTTCAAGCACACACGCACGCACACAAACACATTTCCACACTGCAAGATAAACAGATTTTCTATGCAGAAATCTGTGCTTTGGACCCCTAGCAGCCAGAGGTCTGTTGCTTTGTGGTTTCACTTGTATTTGAATAATGCTAATAATACTCTACAAACAGAGGTAGTGGGAAGGCTCTGTTAGGAGCAAGCTACCTGGTGGGACTGTGAGCTGCTTGAATTTCACAACTTTAAATGAGGAAAGAGAAGCAAAAACTGTCATTGCATGTGTGGTAGACAATATGACCATTGGACTTAAGAGAAGAGACCTCTTACGGAGTGTTTTTTTAAGTTTTGTGTTTTTTTTTTTTTTTTTTAATGCATACATGAATGGAGTACAGGCCAGAGGCACAGGGGCATGAGAGGGATGAGAGGGTTTACCAGAGACAGAGCAGAGAGTAGAATAGGCGAATCTACTGAAATACACTGCTGAGAGGAGCTGCTGGGGTCAGAGGTCTGCTGTGCCATGTGGGTCACCTCCCTGGCAAGCGATTGAACTCATGGTGCACTGGCTGTGACTTGTTTACATTTGTTCTTTGTCCTGCTGAATTCTTTCTATTGCTTTCAAATTCATCATTCTAGTTGAGCCAGAAGAATTTCTTTGCTATCTTTTAAGTGTGCCATAGTCATTTTAATATCTGAGACTTTGCCCAGGTTCTGCCTTCTGCCTAGAATACTTTGTCCTGTGCTCAGCCATGAAGTGAAGTCCGTCTTACATTTAATTTCATAACCGATATCTGGATCAGCTTGTGGGGTTTCTTAAAGTTTTATACTGTTTGCGTTTTTACTGTAGCTGATCTGTGTATAAGTTTTGATGGCCTTAGGTCGCCATCAAACTACTTGGAGGCAGAGACTGTACACTCCAGCCCAGTTGTAGCACTCTGCATTCTCTGTGAGCCGTTTCTGGATTAACCTCAGTCCATTTCAGAAAAGATAGAGCACTGTTCTCTGTGGGTTTATCATCAGTCTCGCAAGTGGCTTAAGCACTTCAGTGGTTCCATGGCATGTTTCCCAAAACATGCAGGCTGTTGTTTGCTTATAGTCAGGTGAATTCCAGGGGGTTGGAGCTGAGCAGTTCTCTGGGACTCTAAGCCTTTCCCTTTCTCCTCTTGGATGAGTTCAAGGTTAAAATTCCATTTTGAACAAGCTGGAGCAGATTAACTTACAGTAGTTACGTTGTTCTGTTGGCCTGCTCTCCCAAATGGACAATTCTCTGAGCTCCTCTGAGCATTGTACTTCCATCACAAAGTCTTTTCCTTGGGCCATTCTCTCTAAAGGACTTCGTGGGATAGTCATCTTGTGAATGTAAGTGGCCTTACCTTTACCAAAACGTTTGAATTAAAGTGGAATAATAGTTAAGCCATTGTCTTTTCAGTACTCATACTTGTATTCATGAAGTCCAATGTATCTAATAATCCTAATGAGCATGACCTCTCAGAATTTGATAGGAAACCTTTGCAGATGTGGAAATACAGCTTAAGTTGGTCCCCACCACCTATATACTATACAGTTTTATACTGTGGGCTCTTGCTTTTTATTGCCAAATCCACTAAACTTCTGTGTTTTCCCGTCTCCTCTCCTCTGTGGTACCAGCTGCAACGTCTCTGTCCTGCCCGCCTGCCCAGAGACATTTGCCAACAGCATGCTCTCCTTACTTTCCGGCACCCCACACAGACAGAGGCTTTGTCTGGAATGCTTGTGATTTTACCCAGAGCCAGGAATTTTCTGCAGCTGAGTAGGGGGAGGAGTTGTGGCTGTTTCCCTCTATTGAGAGAGTAGGGTTGGGGAGAGGGAGGGTAGGTGGGTGATTTCCTGGAATTTTAAAAATTCTACACAATGAATCCTTTGATTTCTTTCACAGGAACAGGGCGGATACCTGACCAACTCGTGATCCTAGACATGAAGCATGGAGTGGAAGCGAAAAATTACGAAGAGGTATGTCCTGTGCAATAGCCAGAGGAAGCAGTAGCCTGCTGCGCTACAGGGTTCCTGTGACCTGGGCAGGCCAGCAGGTTTTGCTTTGCCCAGAACACCACACTTCTCAGTAGTCACGTGGCAGTCAGCTAAAATCTTAATTAAGATGAAAAAGTTGTATTAGCAACCTTGAACATTTATTCTTGTTGTGCTGTCATCCAAAGGGCTGAACCAGTTGTCCTACCGAAATGTTGGTATGGTAAAACACACATTTATGTCATCAGCTGTCTTGAGACAGAAACCAGATATACATACATGTACTTTGGGGGGTTTTTTACATATAGTTTTCTGTTTTTTGGGTTTTTTGTGTGTGTGTGTGTGCATATAGGAACTGGGGTACTGGGGTGGAGAGGGTTCACCAGAGACAGAGTGGGGAGCAGAACAGGCTGATTGACTGAAATATACTGCTGAGGGGAGCAGCGGGCTGGTTGGCAGAGGTCTGCCACACCATGTGGGTCACCTCTCTCGCTGGGGATCGAACTCGAGTTGCAGTAGCTGCGGGTAGCTTCATAGTGCTATACTTTAACCTGTTGCACCACTAGGGAGGGCCATAGTTTTCATTTCAAAAGCTGAAATTCTTTTATTTATTATCTAAGCCTGAGACAAGTGATTTATTTATTTATTTTTTATCCTTAAGGCTTTTATTCCCAAATTGACAGCTGTCTGGACTCACCGATATCTAGGGCTTGGGTTCATTGCTGTTTACAATTAAGTGTGCCGTCTTTTGAAAACACTTTATCAGAAGTAGCTTTCAGTTAAAATAATTTCAAACTATGAAGGAAGAGAGCAGGATGAAGGAAAAAACAAGAGTCTGGTTTATAAGTAATGAATAGAAATTTTTGCTGATAGGTAGTGTTGGGGAAATAAATACTGATATTTATTTGGGTGGTAAAGAGATGTATAGGAGGAAAGAAAAGTGAGCTGAGCCTCTTTCATCTCTATTATGAGACGTGGAGGATAGCATAAAATGGGTCTTCAGATGAAGGGCAACTTTGAAAAACCACAAGAACTTTTTTTTTTTAAAAGATTTATTTATTTGTACATACAGAACGGGGGTACAGGCCAGAGGCTCAAGGGCGGTGAGAGGCTTCACCAGATACAGAGTGGGGAGCAGAACAGACAGATCGACAAAGTACACTGCTGAGGGGAGCAGCGGGTGTGTCAGGAGAGGTCTGCCGCACCATGTGGTCACCTCCGGGGTAGGCAGGAATCGAACTCATGCGGAAGTGGCTTTAGCTTCTCAGTGCAGTGCTTTAACCTGCTGCGCCACCAGGGAGGGCCCACAAGAACTATTTAAAACTGGAGGATGGATCTTTTCAGAAATGTAAGGTGTATTCTTATTTAGATCAGAGTCTGCAGTAGTGCCCAAGGATGTGAAGAAGTAGGATATAGGCAACGTGAATTTGCTTTTAGTGACTTAAGAGAATTTTTTAGAAACGAAGAAATACAAGTTATTCTACCTCTGGTCAGGACTTGGGAGTGAAATACCGTAAAATGGAAGAAGAGTGGAAGGACTGGCTTACTCTGCAGCAGGAAAAGTAGCACGATTGCAGCTCTTCGGGCCTTTCCGCTTTGTTCTGGTTTAGGTGTCCAGCTGAACAAAACTAGACTGAGTTAGTTGTAGACAATAAGTAGGAACAACAGATGCAGTCGTTAATGGAAGGCAGTTCTGTATGCTTTGAATTGTTTGGTTCTGCTTCCAGGCTGTCTTAAAAGAAGTCAAGTAAAACTTATTTGATGAGTTTAAGAATAAGTTGAAAATCTTTTAAATTTTCGTGGTTCAGGAGATTCTGAATTATATTTCACTTAAAAAAAAATGTGTTAAGGCCCTCCCTGGTGGAAGCTAAAGCCACTTCCGCATGAGTTCGATCCCCGCCTGCCCCAGAGGTGACCACATGGTGTGGCAGACCTCTCCTGACCCGCCCGCTGCTCCCCTCAGCAGTGTACTTCGTCGATCTGCCTGTTCTGCTCCCCACTCTGTATCTGGTGAAGCCTCTCACTGCCCCTGAGCCTCTGGCCTGTACCCCAGTTCTGTATGCACAAATAAATAAATCTTTAGAAAAAAAAAATGTGTATTAAATGCTGTCATGAAGTATAAAACACTAACATAAGGGTTGTTGTAGTTGTTGTGAGGTACAAAACAGATAACACGATGCTCCATTTTTGATGACTGCTGCTCACCTTCAGCTGTAGGCCACACCCTAAGCATGCAGTGAATTCCTGCTGTGGAGTCTCTCATGTAATAATGTTTGTCCCTGACATGATGGCTGTCATTGGTGGTATTTGTTAAATATTAGAGAACTTGATTTGACATTAGATACAGTCTTTTCTCCTTAAAACAGATGACATTATTGTGGATTTACATGTAGAATTTTAGAATTCTATACCTCCTGGAATTTCTGTCACCGTTGGACTTTATTGATAATAGAAAAGACCCTTTAGCTTTCCTGATATTTTTTTTAATCCAAGAAGGGGATTCCCTAGTAGAAAGGAAACCACGGAGTTTCCTTTGCCTGCTGCCTGCCTCAGCAGTCTGGGGCATCCTAGACCCTTCTCTATGCTCACTGTTATAACACAGCTCAAAATTCTGTTCTTAATCAAGAAACTTTCACACCTCTTCATCCTCACCATTCCTCCCTACTCTTGTCCCTCATGCCGCCACCCCACCCGACTCCCAAAGGCCAAATTGAGACAGGAGAAGTGCTTATATGACAGAACAAAAAGATCAGTCTTTCCTGGCATGGTCAGGTTTCCTTGACTCTTGCTTAGAAATAGCTGTTAGTTGTCTCTGGGCTAATGCCTGTGACAAGAATGTGGACACTAGAAGCACTTGTTACCTGGCTAATTACCAGAGAGTACATATAGAACTTTTGAGCATATGTAGAGTTCTTGAGACATTTCATTTCAAGCCCATGGAGTAATTCAAACACTTTTATTTACAGAGGATTTGGGCCCTTTGGCATCAGTATTTACATTCAGGAAGGTAACACATTTCTTTAACTTCCTTCACATCCAACTTCCTCACATTTGTGGACTTAATAATTCTGAAATCCTGCACAGTCCTGTAAAATTCAGTAGCAATCAGTGTCTGACTAGTTGGGCAGAATACTGTGTCACCTACTAGGTTACTGTGAGCAACTTAGTCAGTTTGCTGTATAAACATAGCACAAACAAAAGATGATAATGCTTGCCATATTGTAAGTAAGTAAAGAGGGAAAGAGAGCTTGTGTCCTCAGAAATGAAACTTTTGCTTGCCTGTGTTGTATCTTAAGGATCTCCCACCACTAGCGAGGTGAGATTTTGTAGAATCAGTATAGGAGTTAAACCAATTATTTTATTTATTTACTTAATATATATATTTTTTACATTATTCTTCATTTTGTTCATTTTTTCATCTCAGTTGTAATCCCCATGGGCTTCCCACCACCACTTCACCCTGCCATCATCATAGTCCTGTGTGTTCTTCCCACCCCAGTTTTGATCCTTGCTCCCCTCTCCTCCCCCGTCAAATGTCTGGTTTATAGTTGGGAGTTGATTGAACCACTTATTTTTAGTTTGTGGTCTGTGAATTAGAGCAGCTGTTTGCAGAAGGAGCTAACACATCCTTTAACTTCTGGGCTCTGCACATCCTTTCTTGTGTGACTGTCAGCATTTTCAACACAACTAAAATCCTGTTTTGCCTGGGGGTTCCATTGGTCTGTTTTTTTACTATGAACAGATGTACCTAAAAAACAGTTGCCCTAGTTGGAGCAACAGCTGAAAACTTCCATTTGCTCTTTGAATGTTCTCAGTAAGGAGCAACTCTGATACTACATCCAGAATTCCTTTTTTGACATAAATAATATAGGTAAAACACTTGACACACCTCTTGGAGTTCAGTAGATTTTAGCTCCCTTTTCTCAAAACTATCAAATGACATAACAGAAAAAAATAGAAACTTGCTACATGTCATTTAGCCCTAAGATCGGTGGCATCATCTGGATTTATTTTGGCCTGTTGTTATCCTCTGGAATGTCTGCGAAGAGGTCTGTGATTCATGAAGCCCTGTGCACAAGTAGGGTTGCCCTTCGGTGGAGGTTTGCCTTTATCTGTTCTAGACCAGGTCTTCACAGTTGTTGCTGTGCTTCTAGAACTTGTAGGGATTGTGGTGGGAAACATGGAGGTAACAGTTGAATTTGGCTTACCACAGGAAAGCGTCTCCCTCCAGTCTCAAATGCTGCACCAAGAAAACAATCTGCTGATTCTCTATAGAGTTGATTTCAGTTTGTCTTTTAAGAAGTGGTTTTTCAGAGTTAATACCTTTCTTTGTTATAATTACATATGACTCTGAACTCTTTAGATTAAAATCCTTATTTTGAGGCGTGGAGCAATAGAAAAGTAATTTACAATTCTTTTGGAGCTGTTGCTTGTTTGCAGGGAAAGGCTTTATAAATTGTAGCTTTTGCAAACAGTACCTATCAGTGCAGATGAGAGTGATGGTGTGGTCGAGAGGGCTTTTTTTATTTGACACTGGTCCTCATGGAAACAAATGCTGTGTGACAACAGAAACAATGCTCTTCACAGACAATATATGCTTCCACTTAACTAACTCTGTAAGAAAGTTTGAAGAAGCCATAGAATGGGCATAACTGTGATTACTGAGTACTAGGTGTGTGGAGCTATGCAAAGTATACATCATTTTATTTTTCTTGAGTTCAGGGCAAACCTTTTGGGAAAAGGATAAAAATCAAAACAATTGATATGACAATGTATGAGTTGTTAATTGTGTGGTACAGCCTGGAGCTGTAGGAGAGAGGAAACCTATGGACACAGGATTAAGAGTCTTCATTAGTTGTGATTTCAAAGATAGGTAGTACTTGAATAACAACATTGAACCAGGTGTGCGTTTGGAAGTTGGGGCTTCCTTTTTCCCTGCATTTTATAGCGGAATTGTACAGTTTTGGCAACCCTGAGTAGGGAGTCAGAAGACAATGCTCCTGCTAATCTTGGTCAGCCATCCAAAGGACTGAATAACTTTGTGGAATCTTCAGTTTCCTCCTTTGTAAAACAGGATCAGGAAAAGGAATTCCTTGGTGCGTTCTTTGATTACCTAAGTGGCTGAATACAACCTACCAAGGTAATGCTGCCCCCTAGTGGACATGTTCTCTATCTGTGCTTTTCTCAAGCTGTTGGCAAAACACTTCGACCCAAGAGAGTGGAACAGAATAATGGCTTGTTCTCAAGAAACACGTACAGTTTGTTTACAATCATACAAACACTTTCAGTATTAACTCAGATGTTTAAAAGAGCAGAACAGCAGTCAGTGTTGTTCGCTAGAGGTTTTCTTGTAAGCTTTTTGTACTGTGTATAGTCTTGATGGTCCTAGGCACTGACTGGACTGCTTTGTCCTAGGTGGGTGAAGAGTGGCATCCTTTTTTTCTCCCCCACAAGATACATATTGTGAAAGGATAACATGTCTTTATTACTGTTTGTTTGTTTTGTTTTTTAATACTACCGTTAGCTGTTGCATTGCAGTATGTGATGGGGCAGTCAGTGTAATGGAATGAGGGGAAGTTCTGACTCCTTGTGAGATCCTTCAGCAAGGAAGTAGTTCATATCAAAATAAGTATACTCTACTTAAATAATGCTTTTAGAGTTTAAACAAGCCCATGTCCCATGTTATATGAATTTTATACAAAAGTTCACAATTCCAGTGATTTTTTTTCTTTTTTATGAGAAGTGTATGGCTTTTCTTTATTATCTCTCCCCTCCTCACTCTTTGCCGCTGCTCCCCCCGCATTCTGCTGAGCTGTTATCCTGAAGCTATGTTCCTCCTGGAAAATCCTGCTGCCCATTTGTTTAGTAATTCTCTTTGGTCATATTAGCATTCATATTCCAGTCCATTTTTCTCTAAAACACATAGCTTATTATTATTAGTCTGTAAAAATTAAAGTGATAGCAATATGAAACCTAGGAAGTTTGACTAATAAACTGGACAGCTTAACCAGATCTTTGCATGCTAATATATCTTGTTTACCTGACCCTTGATTGAGAAAAAGTTTAGTGTAGCCACTCATCTACACTAATCAGATTGGTAGCATCTACAGAATAAAGAGTAACGTAGAGACCTTAGGTAAGTTGTTTAGAATCTGAGCCTTAATTTCTTCATCAGAAAAAATTTAGGCATACCTACTTTATAGGGTTATGAGGATTAATTAGGATTACAAAATATAAAATACCTATCACGTTCTAAGTCTAATACACACACATAACATAGACTGTTTGGTCTCATGCTTTACCCTGCTGCCTTTTTCCTCTTTCCTAAGTTAACTCCACACACTCTGGAGCCCGTGTGTGCTGTCACCCACCACCTCCCCCATGCACGGAGTGTTGAAACAGGCGTGCGCACGCACGCAGGCAGGCACGCGCCCTCCAGCTCCCAGTACATCAGACAGGCTCTCTTACTCGTGATGTCCTGAACATAAGCGCATGCCTGTGTTTGGGTTTGCAGGTTCCCCTCACTCTTGAGAACTCTTTCTCATCTCTGTCACAAAGCTTGTGAAAATCAACTCTCCCACTTCCTGTTAAGCCTTTCTCTATCTTTCCAACTGTAATTAATCTCACGCCACTTTCCATTCCTCTGCTGATGTGACCTTTTCTGTGTTTACATAACACATACTGCCTTATTGTAGTTCTTCATGTGAGCTTCTCCACCAGACTGAGCATCTTAGGTTAGAGATTATAGTATTTGGGTGATGTGCACCTAATAAACATGCATAAAAACCTGGATGGAGTCTTACAAGATTAAAAACAAAACAAATTTTGCATTTGTTTTTATCTCTAGGTTTAGGTTAAATATGGAACGAGATCCATTATTGTTGCTGTATACTCATGATGTGTTAGATGGTTGAAATAGTGAGTTGGTTTTTGATAGTTTGAAGTCTGGTGGTGTTTCTTTTAGTTCCTTAGATTTTAAATGAATTTCAAGAAAAAGGTATTAGGGAGCGGGTGTTTTATTTGTTTTTATGAAAAGAAGCTTTTATCACATTCAGAAATTTGAAAATAATTTGCTGAATTAGAATTAAGTAAGGATTTTAGTGGAAGATAGGAATTGGGCCATTTTATGAATAGAGGTATAGAGCCTGGACTAGGACCAATCTTAGAAAAAGGGTTGGGAATTGAAGGAAATAATGGCCCTTATGTGGTGTGGAATGGCAAGCAGCAGTGGAGAAGAATAAAATGAATCTGTAAGCACTGACATTTTGGAAAGGTTCTACTAAGGAAAAAAGCAAGCTGTGGTTCTACTGAGGTTCTACTTAAGGAAAAAAGCAAAAGTGTAGTGTGTATCTTTCAACAAGGCCTGAAAAGATCCCACCAAACTTCATAACCACGATTACCTTGGAGAAGGAATGTGTGGGGTGAGCTAGGAAGGTGGGCTTTTGGTTCTAGTCTTTCTGCTTCTGAATAGTTGAAATTCAGAAAACATAATTATGCATTGCTGAAAATAAACACCAGAAATAAAAAGGATTTGGAACCGGTTTTGGGGGGGCTAGTGTCATTTTTGTAAAAAAAAGTAGGAGTTTTCAAAGTATTTTTTAAATATTTTCAGCTGGCAGAGGCGCAGCTGTAGTTTCACTTCCAGTTCCTTTTGCAAGTTTCTATTTAGGGAGCCTTAAGTCATTTATCTCTTAAAAAGTAGCATGCCATTGCCTTTATACTGGTTCATTTAGAAGGCTTTGCAGGGGAGAATATAGGCCAGTAGAGAAAATGTTAAACAAACTGAGGTTCAATTAGTAGATGTCTCTAGTATTGGTATCTTTTCCCCAGGGAATTTCTTTGCTCTGTGGTTTCAAGTCACTCAACATAATGTATTCTAGATTAATGGCAAGATGTGGCATTTGGGCAGTTAGCCAGGAGAGTTAGCACAATGTGTTAAACATCTGGTTAAATCTTATACTCAGGGGCCCTCCCTGGTGGTACAATGGGTTAAAGCACAGCACTGTGAAGCTGGCCACAGCCACTGCAGCATAAGCTCAATCCCCAGCCAAGGGGTGACCCACAGGGTGCAGCAGACCTCTCTGACCCACCCCCTGCTCCCCTCAGTGTATTTCAGTACATCTGCCTGCTCTGCTCCCTACGCTGTCTCTGGTGAGTCCTCTTAACCCCTGCACCTCTACCTAAAACCCAGTTCTGTGTGTGTGCAGTAAATAATAAATCTTAAAATAACTAAACAAATTTATACTCAGTTAATTTTACTCTATTTTGCAGCCAACAGTCAAGCCATTAACTCTAGCCAACAGTTTAGGCATGTAAGAAAATGTATAACTGGTAAAAGAAAACCTAAGTAGATCATTGTAGCTCCAGTCTACATTTTATGTACCTTAAATAGAAACTTTTATACCCCTATCTTAACAGCAGTTTCGTTCCTTTATCTTGTTCTTCACATGTTCAGTGAAGAATATAAATAGCAAAGAGAACATAAAAACACCGTTATTTATCCTGAGTTAATTGTAAACAACAGAAAAAGATCAAGGTGGATTGGACCCTAAAAGAGAGAGATCTATAGGAGATATAAGATAGTTAGGGAGTAAAGATGAAAGTTTAGACAAAGAATTGAAGAATTCTCTATGTGGAAAAATTTAAGAGCAACTGGTACATCGGGTTTTTAAGATCTGGAAAATTCTGGTGGTATATGCCCATTTTAAATATAATCCCACATTATAGTCTGAGCTTAATAAGGAAAGCAAATAGAATAATGAACTTTTATTACAGTGAAACCTCTAGTTATTAGATCCTCCTGGAGGCTTCATAGGGACCTAAGGTGAGAAAGGAAGATAGATTATTTCTTTTTCACATCTATTATTCCTTGGTATACAAAGAAGTCTATGGAGATTTTATCGGATAATGGTGTAATTCTAAGAGAAAAAAAGCTTTTTCTTTTTTTCTTTTCTTTTTTTTTTTTTGACAGCCTAGGATTCTTCTGGGCTCTGGTGCTAATGATAGAAACCTTAAAATGGTTACAGGGTTTAAATGAGCAAACCAGAATTCCTTGATTTTGTAGCAGGCAGTATTGTCCTGTAGTCATGTCGAATCTCTCGCTCCTGTGTAGTCCCTGCTGGGAATCCAGTAATCTTTTTTCTAAAACCACATTTGATTTAATGTTGTGACTCTTGTGCATAATAATGTTTATGTCTTAGACTTAAATAGAACAAAATAAAGTGCCTTTTTGGTTCCAAATCTGCAGAAATAGTACATCTAACTTTACAGTCTACATACTATATTTTTATAAAGGTTTTAATCAGAAGTAAAGTATGAAGAAAGTCTGAATTGGAAACACAGCTTGCTGGGAAGGGAAGACACCCATATTTTAAAGTGTTAGAATGATAACAGGAGAGATTTTAAGTTCGCTAATAAAATTTTTCAAGGTCCCTCTGTTGTATTCTTGATTGCAGCATATTTTTCAGGGGATGGGCTCACAATTCCTTTCTTTCCCAGATTGCAAAGGTTGAAAAACTCAAACCTTTGGAAGTAGAGCTGCGACGCCTGGAAGACCTTTCTGAATCTATTGTTAATGACTTTGCCTACATGAAGAAGCGTGAGGAGGAGATGCGTGATACCAATGGTGAGGAGACGCAGCTTGTTTCTCAGGGATCCATAAAGGAGACAGATCCCCAAATGTTAAATTCTGGTGTACCCTTCCTCAGTTTTGCCAAAGTGGGCCAAGTGGGGAGGCGGGGAGGTACGTGGAAGAATAATTACTTGAGTGTTGTTGATTTTAGTGCGCCTGGTATAGGTAAGTGACCCTTGTTAGTTTTTCAAGGGGATAGGAGTTTCTTCTGTGATAGGCAGTTGACCATATTCAGTTAGCTTACAGCATATCATGTTTACATATAAGATGATGAAAATTTAAAGGAAAATTACTTGAAATACAGGCTAGGCCCAGGGACAAAGTAAAGGTTATTAATTGCCTCTTTTACTGCCCCCAACACCCTTGCTTAGCTTGCAGAGCCTCAATTCATTACGTTTACAATGTTTTTGGTTTTTTTAGAGTCAACAAACACTCGGGTCCTGTACTTCAGCATCTTTTCAATGTTCTGTCTCATCGGACTAGCTACCTGGCAGGTGTTCTACCTGCGCCGCTTCTTCAAGGCCAAGAAATTGATTGAGTAATGAGACCCAGTCTCCTCCCACCTGTATCAGCCACAGAACACCGCTGGGACGTGCCTCGCCTGCTGCATCCTACCTAAAGCACCATCGAGGCACATTGGAGCTTTCTTGCCAGAACTGATCTCTTTTAGTGTGGGAGGACTTGGGTTCCCACCTACACCCAACAAGTTAATGAGGGACCGCTTTTTAAGTTGGTAGGATTTGGACTGGTTTTGCAACAATAGGACTATTAGTCACATATGACAAAAGAGAGGGGTTACCTAGATAACGCCAAAGCCAGCATTTTTACTGGGTTTCCTCTTGTGATCTGTTTGAACCATGGTTTTTGGGGGTTTGTTGTTTTTTGGTTTTTTTTTTTTTTTTTTCCTTCACATCCTCATCAGCTTGGGCTTCTGCTCTGGGTCCTTTACCAGGATTTGTATGACCATGTTGAACTTTTTTTCTTCTGATTGTTTCCCTTTGGACTTCTTTTGACAACACCCTTAACTTTCTCTGTCAGTTGCCATGTTTAGGTATCTTCTGGTGGTATCCTTTCATAATTTTATGTCTCTTAAAAGGAGATGGATGTGGCACCTCATAGAAATGAGCTTTGAACTATAGATAACAAATTTTCATTTTTAGAGAATTAAATATTTGTGCTCAACCTCCTGAACTTTTTTTGTTTATGTGTAATTTAGTTCTGTGCAGTTTTACCACATGTAGATTCAGGTGACCACCTTCAGAACGTGCACAACAGTTCCGTCACGTGGATCCTTTGTGCCACATCCTCCTCCCTCCATCTTCTGGCACCACTAATCTGTTCTCCATCTCTATCATTTTGTCATTCAAGAATCTTATATAAATGGAATCACAGAGTTGTGTAACCTTGAGACTGACTTTTTCACTAAGCCTAATTCCCTGGAAATCCAAGTTGTTGCATGTATCAATAATTTGCTCCTTTTTATTTCTCAGTGTTTCATGGTCTGGATGTACCACAGGTTAATCATTCACGCATTGAAGGACATCAGGGTTGTTTTCAGGTTTTGGTCATTACTAATAAAGCTGCTGTAAACATTTATATAAGTTTTTATGTGAATATAAATTTTAATTTCTTTGAAAATGAATGCCCCAGAAGGCAAATTGCTGGATGGTACGGTAAGCACATAGTAGTTTTGTTAGAAATTGCTCTCTTATCTCCAGAGAGTAGCTATGCCGTTTTACATTTCTACCAGTAATGTATGACTGGCTAACTCTTCAGATCCTCACCACTTTTTGCTATGATTATATGTGCTAATTAAGAAAGCGCAGCATCTACATTAATTACTGTTTTTTATTTTTGTCATTCTAATGGTCATGTGTAGTGATACCTCATTATGATTTTAATTTGCATTTTTCTAATGGCACATGATGTTGAACATCTTTTCATGTGCTTGTCATTTACATATCTTCTTTAGTGAAATACCTGTTCTTTTGCCCGTTTTCTAGTAAGATTATTTGTCCTTTTTACTGTTGAGTTTTGCAAGTCCCTTACATATCCTAAGTGAAGTCCTTTGTTAGATATGTGTGCTTGAACTTAGAGCATATTTTACTGTGCTTGAACTTAGAGCATATTTTACTAATCACATTTCACATAGGTAGTTTATGAAGTCTTTTTATAAACTACTCACTGACTTCTTTTCCTAGTGTATTTCAGCTGAAGAATTAAGACATACAAGGTATAAAGAAAATTGCACGTGAGTGAGGATAGCTACAAGTCACCATGGGCACATGAGGCCATTACTAATGGAAATAAGAGAAAATGTTGATACAGATGGACATGTTCATAAGCAGTTATGAAGACTGCTATCACTTGACATTCCCCCCTCCCCTTCCTAAGAAAATGAGAGTTTGTCCTTTTTGTAATCTTTTTTAATTTCTGTTACAGGGCTCATCTAATCATAGTGGCAAGAAATGCAGGGCTTGAAGCTGTGCAGTTTGCAGTGAAAAAGTAGCCCATAGAGTTAACAGTGAATACTGCCTTGATGACTAGATAAAATACAAGGGTGGAAGAGGGAGTGAAATGTGTTGTTAAATCTCAAGCTGTTCTGTTAATGCTACTGTGAATCCAAAAATGTTTTGTTCCACATTTGATGCTTTGTGTGAACTCCTCTGGTGTGGCAATGTGGTTCTCGTATTAATTTATGCAACATCGCCATCTGCTGTCAAGAACTGGACCCTGCTTCTGATAACCTGGCTACAGATACTGAGAAAGTTTTATCTGTGGGTATGACACATACTAAATGATGAAGGATGCATCTGAGTAGGAACATTGTTACCAAATCATAGGTTAGATTCACCTTTCGATATTTAAAAGTGAAATTCTGTCCTCTACTATTAATCTAAAAAGATAACGCTTTAACATTTCTGATGGTGCCTTTCCCCTTTATAGAAGTTATGGAAACTATTCAGTTGGTTATAGTCTTCTATTCTGACAAAATGTCAAAGATAGGAGAGGATTTTATTTTGTTGATGTTTTTGTTGCCAGATGTGACTATGAAACTGAAATGTTTCCATGTCCTTTCCTTCTACTTATGCCAAAACTACCAACACATTTGTGCTTTGGGTTTAAAGTTCATTGATATTATACCTTGATTTTGTCTAAAAAATAAACTTACTTGCCTTTGAGAAAAGATTAGTGTAAGAGCAAATTTCCTTTGAAAATGAGGATGTTACCTGCTTTCTTCCATTTTTGAGCCTATTCAACATGGTCTATATAATACAAATGAGAATGATAAAGCCTCGTTACACCATTGTCATAAGCCATTTTTCTGTTTAATGGAAAGAGGCATGGGGAATTTATAGGTTCACTTGTTAAGCATTGGGCTGGGGATTTTTGTGTAAATTTTCTCAAATAAAGGCTAGCAGAAAACACTTTAGGCGTATTTTGTTTTAAGTACCTCTTTGACTGGCAATAATCCCTTTATATCTTCACTGTTAAAATATAGCAATTTACCAACCGCGGGGATTACAATTGAGATGGAAAAAAAAAGAAAATGTACAAAATGAAGTAAAAATAAACTTATAAAATATATACATATAGCAACTTACACATAATGAATTAAAAAGGAATGGCCATAATTCACTCCAGATGGGTAAAGTTTTATAAATTAGTGAATATCTGTTATTTACAAGTATGTTACAGATAATATGTATATGAAACCGATAACATCTTCAGAAAGACCAAATAGGGGTTTGTTAAATCACCCATTCCCTATTTTGGAAACTGCTTAAAATTCTTCCAACTTAAAACCCTTTTGGACTGCCTGTTTTGGGTTATCACCTCTCTGTTCACCACCACCTGTTATCACCTCTGTTCACAACAGGTACAGGGTATTTTCTCCTTTTATTACCGGTAGTTGAACATTAAATTTCTCCTTTTATTACCGGTAGTTGAACATTAAATTTCTCCGGACATTCACTGGCTGTTACTTACTCCCTTCTTTTATTCTCCCTCCAAAAAAAATTTTTTAGTGAATCCATAATCTCTAAAAGTAGTGGTTCTCAATAATTGGATCTAAATAGTTGAACATCAAAAATGTCTTATTTCCACTGATGTTTTAAGAACATGAATTAAGCAAAAACAAATGAATTTAATAGTCTCTTATGAAAGTGTCTTTTTTTTTTTTCAAGATTTATTCATACAGAACTGGGGGGTAAGCCAGAGGTGCAAGGGCAGTGAGAGGCTTCACCAGAGACTGTGGGGAGCAGAATAGGCAGATCTGCGAAGTACACTGTTGAGGGGAGCGGCCCGGGGTGTCAGGAGAGATCTGCCAAGCCATGTGGGTAACCTCCGGGGCGGGGGATCAAACTTGCACTGAAGCAGCTATGGCCAGCTTGCAGTGCCTCTTCCTAACCCATAGCACCACCAGGGAGGTCCCTGTTTTTTTTTTTCCCCCTAAGATTTCATTATGCATACAGAACTAGAGTGCAGGACAGAGGTGCAGGGGCGGTGAGAGGATTCACCAGAGACAGAGTGGGGAGCAGAACAGGTAGAAGTGCACTGCTGAGAGTCTCAGTGGGCAGGTCAGGAGATGTCTTCCACGCCCTGTGGGTCACTCCCAGGCTAGGGATCAACTTGCACTGAAGTGGCTGCGTCTAGCTTGCAATGCTGCGTTTAACCCGCTGTGCCACCAGGGGGAGCCAAAAGTGGCATTCTTAAGTGATAAAACATGTTATTCAGTGTTGCAGGGGTGTCTCACATGATGGCCCCATTTGTAATTGAACATTTTCTAGTTTCATGTTTAAAAAAACAAAATTTAGGCCCTCCCTGGTCGCGCAGCGGGTTAAAGCACAGCCACTTCCGCATGAGTTGGATCCCCGCCTGCCCCGGAGGTGACCACATGGCGTGGCAGACCTCTCCTGACCCCTCCCCCCCCAGCCGCTCCCCTCAGCAGTGTACTTCGTCGATCTGTCTGTTCTGCTCCCCACTCTGTCCCTGGTGAATCCTCTCAACCTCCGCATCTCTAGCCTGTACCCCAGTTCTGTATGAATAAATAAGTAAATCTTTTAAAAAAAAATTAACATTTAGAGTAATTGATCCAAAGTGACATTTCTACATGTAGTCAATATATATAGTAGTTTATATACTATATTCATAAACTCTGAAACCCGGTACATATTTCACGGCGAGGTATCTATTTAGACTAGCCACATACAGTGTTCACCAGCCACAGGTAGCCAGTGGCTATCACCCAGCACAGTGAAAGGATAGACTTTGCCTGGAACATCAGTTGATTCTTAAAACTACAGAACTTCTTCAACCCCTGAGGATCTGCCATTTACAAGTCAGCTTTTACTATAGCTCCCTAACTAATTTGTTACAAATAATCTGGAAATACCTGTTTGTGACCAAAGGCAATTTATAATCATTTACTCCTTACAAATCTTGAGTATTTCTGGGTTTACTCTAAATATTAAAATGTCACATGTGTTTCAGTTTATATTTAGTATAATGAATAAAAACCTAAGTGTTTTCTCCAAGGTGTGACAGGACATTTATCTGATATCTATGACTAAATTCACAATTTGAGGTAATGTAACTATTATCACTAAAACAATTTGTAATTTCAGACTAACCAGGTTGTAGAAAATGATCTAGTTCATCACTGCAGAGATACTAGAAAAATAAATTTTTAGCTTTGGTTGAAAACTTCAGCTTCTCTGAAAAGTCAACACTTAGATTTTGAGTGATGTTTTTCCATTCTATTTGCTAAAAACAAATGTATTGAACATTTACTCTGGGTAATGTGGTATATTTAGATACATAAACAATACCAGTCCTCAGAGTGCTTTCTAAACGAGGAGTAGATGAAATAGCTTCTCTGGAATGATCCCTTGTGTAATCACTTCTGACTTACATGTTGGCTGTTCCTCCAGGATATCTTCACTAACTCAGGATGCTTGACTTGGAAAGATGCCCCTTCTAAACATCTATTTTGAAGCTTGTACTTACAATTACCTGGGTTGGTTACATGTACTGTAAACTTCTTGGGAGTAGGAATCATGTTTATTTTGTTCTCTCTTGTAACCAAGCACCTGGCACAAGTTGGCACTTAGTGTTGAATGAAAGTTCAAAAATATCTACACTCTATAACAATAGCATGAAACAAATTGAACATACATGTGTGATAGCAACATGATATAGTCAACAAATATCTGTGCCTGTAATACTTTTCTAGGTATTAATGATAAGTCACTAAGACTAAAAAACCAGGCTCTTGGAGACTTTGTATTCTAATGTAGATAGTCAATAAATACTAAATGAGACACCAGTATTTTACAGATATGCATTGTGGGAAAAAATAAGAGGTGCTCTGCAGGATGGTTTTATGCAAGAGCTAGAGGTTTAGTTAAGTACAAGCACGGTATAAACTGACCATTACCTGAAGGTGGTACATTTCTAGAGACATTGAGACCAGTTCTAGGGAAATAATCATTATAAAAGAAATGTGTATGAATTGTAGAGGGCAGAGGAACATAGCGTTCACATCCCTCACCCAGTCCTACCAATTCTTTTCCTCCTGTATTTGCTATTACAGTCTACCTAGTTAAAGACCCAAAAGTGAGTCTCAGGGATTTCACATCTGTCTCACATTTACCTATCCCAACTGATCACAAAATTCTAAATGTTCCTGGCCTTCCTGGTGGCCTGAAGGATAATCTCAGCATTATCAACCCTGTGGCCTGAATTTGATCCCCAGCCAGGGAGCTGACCCACCTGGCACAACAGATCTATCTTGCCCACTGCTCACCTCAGCAGTGTATCTCACTCCATCAACCTTTTCTCCTCCCCACTCTGTCTCTGGTGATTTGTCACCTCACACACCTCTGGCCTACAATCCAGATCTTTTATGCATAAATAAAAATAAATCCTTAAAAAAATACTAAATGTGGCCCTTCCTGGTGGCACAGTGGGTTAAAGCACAGCACTACGAAGCTAAAGCCACTTCAGTATAAGTTCAATCCCCGCCTGTCTCGGAGGTGACCCACATGTTGCAGCAGACCTCTCCTGACCTGCCTGCTGCACCCCTCAGCAGTGTACTTCATTCATCTGCCTGTTCTACTCCCATTCTGCCTCGGGTGAAGCCTCTCAGTGCCCCTGCACCTCTGGCCTGTACTCCAGATCTTATGCATAAATAAATATATATATTTTTAATTCTAAATGTTTCTTATATGCAGACAGAGTTTCTGGATCTCCCCCCATTAACACTGTTAGGACCTCAATGTCTCTTCTACGACTATCAGTTGCCTAGTAAATTCTACCTGCAGTCTTTGCCCTCCAAATTGTTATCAGAGGTCTTTGTAAACTTTAACTTTGGTCTTATGTAAGGTGATCATATTGTTTATTATCTGAGCTGGGCATTAAGGCAAAAGAAGACTTTATTAATAATGCTGGAGGGAAAGGCATAATAAACTGGGGTTTCCTTGGCAAATAGGGACGGAGTCAACAGTCCCCTATATTCTCCAATAATTTTCTGTTGCTTACAGGAAAAGTAAAACTATTAAAAAAAAACATCTGAGGCCCTATTTTCTGCCTCTCCCTCACAAGAGCCGGAGCTCACCACATAACCTTCCCTTAGAATTAACACAAGCCTTCCAGGAAAGACCTGGAGCCAGGTTGCTGGGTTTGAGGCCCAGCCCTCCTGATTAGCTGTTCAGCATTGCATAGGTTACTTAACCTCTCTGTATCACAACCTCTTTTGTAAACTGAAATATTTGAGGACTGAGTAGGGTAATAGGCAAGACCTTTAGCATAGTGGCAGCAACATAACACAATAAATGCTATCTTATCTCTGTGATGTAGGCCATATTCCCATACTTTAAGAGTAAAAAACAAGCTGGTAGAGGTGAAGTTGCCCCAGGTCACAAAACTGATGGAATGTGATTTTTGACTTTGCAATTTTCCTAGTGACTTGAGGGTAGGGAGTGTCTTTTATAGTGATTCCCCATACACAGTGTGCTGCATGAGAGTTGATGGTCAAAGATTGGAATACACACAGAAGGAGCATGCCTAAAGTCTGGGGAGTGAAAGAGAGGGTCAGAAATGACTTAAACTATTTTTGGACTTGGGTGGAAAAGGGAGGGACCTATAACAGTCCTGAGAGAAATAACTGGGCCCACTAACTGAGACCGCAGGAGGCATAGTCCAGCGCGCTATAAAATCTCGACCATGCTGGGCCCTCCCTGGTGACACAGCGAGTTAAAGCACAGCACGAAAAAACTAAAACCACTTCTACATGAGTTCCATCCCCGCCTGCCCCGGAGGTGACCACATGGCTCAGCAGACCTCTCCTGACCCGCCCACTGCTCCCCTCAGCAATATACTTCATCGATCTGCCTGTCCTGCTCCCCACCCTGTCTCTGGTGAAGCC